GCCGATCCCAACCTCGACCTCCCTTCCCAACTCCTTCCTCACTCCCCGATCCTGTCCCCCCGATCCGGACCCCGTTCCCGCTTCCCCCACCTTCGTCCCCCAGCGCAATCCCCCGCACACCCATCTCCCCGCTCGCCGCCACCTTCAGCCCGCCCGCTCTTCCCCCGCGCGATCGTTCCCCCCCCGTCGCTCCCCTCCGTTCCCCGACCTTCCCCCCCCCCCACACGCAACCCGTGTGCGACCCCCAGGTCCGCTCTTGTACCCTGCGCGACTGTCCCCCACCCCACGTCCCCGTCCTATCATCACCATCATCATCATCATCACCAACCTACCCGTGCCCTACCTACCACGCTACCACCCAATCAATAGTAGATAGCATCGCTCCGCCCTCGATTTACATCAAAATTCATTTTATTCATTTCTAGAATCCATTTTATATTCTTTTCTTTGTACATTCGAAAATACTCGTTTCTTTCTCAAACGTGTTTTCTTTTTCGAAATTTTCGAAGTACATAGGATTTAATCATTTCTTTCTCGGCATTTCTTCTTCGAAATTTTAAAACAAATTTAATTCTTTCTTTTTCGAAATTTTGTAATTCGAAAATATTTTAGAATTAATCTAACTCTTTTTCGACATTTCTTTTTCAACATTTCTTTTTCAAAACATTTCTACTTATTTTTAATTATTTTTTTCGAAAATTTTGAAAATACATTAGAATTAATTAAATTCTTTTTTCGATATTTCTTTTGGAAATTCAAAAATAATTCTAATTAATTCTTTTTCCCAGTATTTTAATTCACAATTTCTTTTCGCAATTTTTGTTGAAATTCGAAACTCTTTTTACAATACGGAAGTACTTTTTCTAAACCCCTCAATTAATTTCGACTAAATTCAATTAATTCACAACTGAATTAATCTCTTTATTCGAAATTAATTATCCTTTTTCTGAAATGTCGACATTTTCCTTCAAAAAATTCTTGCCAAATATTTTAAAAATTTCCCCTTCCTAATTCTTTTCAGAATTCTTTTTTTTCCCCCCCGAAATTCGAAAATATTTTTTTTCAAAAATTTCACGTTTTCTTGTAAATAAATTTAAATCTAAATCAGAATCTATTTTTTTTTTCAAAATTAATTATGTCTTTCTGTTCAGCGTTCTTTTTTTTTTGGAAAAAAATAAAATAAAAAATCTTGGCGATCATCTTTATTTTTGAATTTATTGATAAATAAATAAGGGATTGCCCCCCCCCCCACCCTCCACATGCCACCACGCCAATCCAAAAACTCCCAACGTGCCGCCGTCGACGCCGCCACCGCTGCAGCTGCATCCTCCACACCCGTTCAGGCCACGTTCTCCACCCCCTCTTCCCCCGACATGGCCGCATCCTCCATCAACATGTCTGACATCCGCACCGACTCAGTCGATAGCATCGCCCGCAACCTCGCAGGCGAACAACCACCAGCAAATACCGCCACCCCCGACCTCTCCGCCATCCTCCACGCACTCAACACCCTCCGAACCTCCGTCACCGCCTCTCTCGACGACATACGTCCATATGCGACCGCGTCACCACAATCGAACGGACCATCCCCTCCATCACGGTCGTCACCACCGCGTAAACCACTCCCTCCTCCACAGCGCAAACCACTTCAACCTCCACAACGCAAACCACCCCCTCCTCCACAGCCGCCTCCAGCAACACCCCCCCGCCGACCTCCTCCACTCCTACCACCTCTACCACCACATCCACCAACCCTTCAATCTCCACCATCGTTCCATTTCCTCCACCTCCTCCCTCATCCGGCGCATCCAACACACTGCCTCGTTCCTCGCCCATCCACATCACCCCTCTTCCCCCCCCGCACTCCCAAACCCTTGCAACGCTGCTCTACACACACCCCTGAACCCAGTCCACCCTTCCCTTGATCCTCATTCCTGATGTCTGATCTGCCTTGCCCTCGCCTAACCTTGTCCCATCTGTCCTCTCCACTACCTTGTCTCTCTCGTCCAATGCTTGTGAACTTGCGTGACGCCGGCGATAAAGGATCTAATGGCAAGCGCACGAGGACGATGGCCTGCTGCCTCACTGTTCATGGAGATTATGCAGCTGGTTTGGCCACCATGCTGTTTCATTGGCCGGGATCCCGACTCGCAGACTTACTGGAGCAGCAACTTGTGACATGGATCTTTGCATCAGTCTGCGACTTCCCTGCTTCCAGATCAGACCTCATTGCAGTTCGTGTACCGGACACACCCTAGTTCTTGGACTTTGACACTTGAACTACTACTACGCTTCTTGGACTTCTACCTATCGCAGCTGCTGAAGACCGCTTCTACCACCTACTCCAAAGACCTGATCAAGACCGCTGCAGACCCCCTTTCAAGACACTTGGACACTTTGTTCCTACATGAGATTCTGCTTCCGACTCCTTCGGACACACCAGCCTTCGCATCCTGAACAAACATTTTCATTTTTATTTTT